CTCTCATTGCCTGTAACTTTGTCTCTCAAATAAGTAAATCAAATTTTTAAAGAAAAATCTTTAAAGAAGAAAAGATTGGCTTCAGCCTGGCTCAGCCCTGGCTGTTGGGGCCATTTAGGTAGTGAACCAATAGATGAACCAATGGATGAAAGCTCGCTCTCTCCTTTTGCAGACTTTCTAATAAATAAATAAACCATTTAAAAAAATTTTTTAAATCCTCATTGATTGGTAGTCTAATATATGCCAGATACTTTCCTAGACCCACTTAATTCTCATAACAACCACTGCAAAGGGAATGATATCTTCCATTGCTGAGTAGGAGTCAGCTAAGGATTGGAAAGGCCAGGATTTGAACCTAGGTCTGTGGAACAGTAAGACTTCTCCTTTTACTCTCAGATAATGGCATTTCATTGTAATAGTCAATTTTTCATCACTAAATACTTGGTACAGGCTACTTATAAAGGAAAGAGGTTTTTTTTGGCACACAGTTTTGGAAGTTCACAATACAAGGTGGGCAGGACCCATTGATCTGGCAGTCTGGTGATGTTGGGAGATGGCATGGTATGACATGCTAGAGGAACAATCACACAGTGAGGCAGGAAGCAGAGAGAGAAGGAGAGTGGCTAGGCTCAACTCAGGCTTTAATCACCAACCCTCTCAGGAGAGCAACCTTCCAAGGGCATGTCCACAATAAATTAAGGACTCCCTACTAGGCCCATGGCCTAGACACTATAATTGGGCCAACCCTCTGTGCCTTAGGACTTAACCATATGAGAGTTCTGTAACTATATCCTATTCATATAATTCCTGAACTCTTACAGTCCTTTAATCCCCTCCTTATATTAAGCACTTACTATTTATAAACACTGAAAATTTCCTACTTTTATCTAGTTAATGAAGTATCTAATTAAAACAGTGTATAGGGGCTAGTGTTGTGACACAGCAGGTTAAGCCACTGCTTATGACACTGGCATTGCATACTGAGTGCTGATTCAAGTCCTGGCTACTTGCTTTGGAGGCAGCAGACAATGGCTCAAGTGCTAGAGCCCTGTCACTCACATAGAAGTCATGGATGGAACTCTGGGCTCTTGGTTTTGGCCTGCCCCACCTCTTGTTGCTGGCATTCAGGGAGTGAACCAGCAGATGGAAGATACCTCTCTTTCTCTCTCTCCCTCTGCCTTTCAAGTAGATAAAAATAAGTAATTTTTAAAAATCCTAAGGTTAAACAGTTTTACTAAGAGTAGGGACTCAAATAAAATACAATTCTTGGTTCCAATACTATTTGCTCTAGTTCTATACTTACCCAGCAACTTAAAGTATGCATTATTTCTGGTTTTAACATATTTGTACTTAAAAAAACCAAACCAAACCAAACAAAAAAACTTTGGGGGCCAGCACTGTGGTACAGTGGATTAAGCTACTACCTGCAGCACAGGCATGCCACATGGGTGCCGGTTGCGCTACTTCCAGTCCAGCTCCCTGATAATGTACCCAGGAAAGCAGCAGAAGATGGCTGAAGTGCTTGGGACCCTGCGCTCATGTGGAAAACCCAAGCTTCTGGCTCCTGGCTTCCACTTGGCCCAGTCCTGGCTGTTGTGGCCATTTTTGGGGAGTGAACCAGCACATAGAAAATACCTCTGTTTCTCCCTCTCTCTCTGTAACTCTGACTTTCAAATAAAATAAATCAATTTTAAACAAAACAAAACAAAACAAAAAAACATTGGCCTGGTTCAGGATTCAGTATATAAATAAATTCAGTTTGGAACTCACCAAATTATTCCTAGCTTTTGCTTAGTAGTTAGGTTACTGTCCCTATAACAATAATATTAGCTTAATACCCAGAGTTAAACGTGTTTAAAATTTATAAAATATAGGGGCCCAGATTGTGGCACTGTGGGTTAAGCTGCTGCGTGCAATGTTGGCATCCCTATGAGTGCCACTCTGTGTCTTGGATGCTCCATTCTGGATCCAGCTCCCTGCCAATGAGTCTGGGAAAGCAGCAGATGATGGCCTGAGTATTTGGGCTCCTGCCACACATGTGGGAGATCCGGATAGAGTTCCAGTCTCCTGGCTTTGGTCTAGACCAAGCCTGGCTGTTGCAGCCATTTGGGGAAATAAATCAGCAGATAGAAGCTCTCCCTCTCTCTGTCACTCTGGCTTTCAAATAAATATGTAAACCTTTAAGAAAATAAAACAAAATTTATAAAGTATAGAATCAATTTCAAAAGTCCTAATATTTAGAAATCTGTATATTATAGCAGTTTTGTCCATCCACAACAAATCATATTATATAATATATCTCTTTTTTAAAGTTGTATTTATTTATTTGAAAGCCAGTGTGACAGAGAGAGAGAGGAAGACACACAGAGAGACAGAAAGGAATAGAGGGAAAGAGAGATAGAAAGGTACCTTTCATCCATTGGTTCACTCCCTAAGTGGCCACAACAGCCAGGTCAGTCAGAAGCCAGGAGCCTGGAACTCCATCCAGGTCTACCACATGGGTGGTAAGGGCCCAGGCACTTGAACTATCTTCCACTGCCATCCCAGGATGCATTAGCAGGAAATTGGATCAGAACTAAAGTAGCCTGGACTTGAACAGGCAAACTGATATGGGATGCAGTCTACCTAAGCTGCAGCTAAACTCACTGTACCACAATGTGACCCCTACCTTTAGCTTCCAAATCGCTTTGATTTTTAAATTTTTTGACATATATGAAAGACATATGAATATGTTTTGTGGTTTGTATAGTATTTTTTTTTTTTTTTTTTTGACAGGCAGAGTGGACAGTGAGAGAGAGAGACAGAGAGAAAGGTCTTCCTTTGCCGTTGGTTCACCCTCCAATGGCCGCCGCTGCAGCCGGCGCACCGCGCTGATCCAATGGCAGGAGCCAGGAGCCAGGTGCTTTTCCTGGTCTCCCATGGAGTGCAGGGCCCAAGCACCTGGGCCATCCTCCACTGCACTCCCTGGCCATAGCAGAGAGCTGGCCTGGAAGAGGGGCAACCGGGACAGAATCCGGCGCCCCGACCGGGACTAGAACCCGGTGTGCCGGCGCCGCAAGGTTGTATAGTATTTTGACTTTGTGAATATGAGAGAAAATACTCAAATATGGAAGTTTGGTTTTATTGTAGAAACATTTTTTAAAAGATACTTTAAGTTCAAAAATGGATGCTAATTTGTGATATGACCAAAAGACATTCCTTTAGAAAATAAAAATGTTAAATATTTAGAAAACTTTTAACATTCAATCTCATGAAGCATTTTGATTAAATGAAATTTGACTTTATCTAGACAGTAGTTATAAGAAAATGTATTTAGAGGCTGGCATTGTGGCATAGTGGGTAAAGCCACCACCTGCAACGCCAGCAACACCGGCATCCCATATAGGCACCAGTTCATGTCTCGACTGCTCTGCTTCGAATCCAGCTTCCTGCTGATGGCCTGGGAAAAGCAGGAAAGATGACCCAAGTACTTGGGCCCCTGCCACCCACCTGAGAGACCTAGATGGAGCTCCTGGCTCATGGCTTCAACCCGGCCCTATCCTGGCTGTTGCAACCATCTGGGTAGTGAGCCACCAGATGGAGGAGTTCTATTTCTCTCTCTCTCTCTTTCTCTCTCTGTGAGTGTGTGTGTGTGTGGGCACACATGTGCATACACACGTGTGTGTATATTCCTATCTCTGCCTGTAACTCTTTTAAATAAATAAATCTTTAATATATATATATACATATTTAGATTTATAGGAAACTATTTAAGTTACTGAAACGTCTATGCACAAATGAACATTTACTCATGAATTTTGTTAAAGATTGCAAGTATTCTGCCTGGTTTCAGAAAAATATATACTAAGTAAATGATAAATTTTAACAAATCAGTTTTGTTGTACTTAGTCTGATAGTACAGACTAGTGTAGTGTTACTCTTTAAAAATACTTAGAAATATCACTTAGCTTTGTTTTGTAGATTTCAGTGGCTGGCAGCAACAGGACATTTACCAGAGGTTGCAAATGAGGTTGGGATGTGGGGCACAATTTTCATTCATCCTGCAGGTATGTGTAGTTTGTCTCACATATTGTATTTAAAAATTTTGTTTTTGTTGCCAACATTTTTTTAAAAGATTATTTGAGAGGCAGAGTTACATACAGAGAGAGGGAGAGACAGAGACAGAAAGGTCTTCCATCCACTGGTTCACTCCCCAAATGGTTGCAATGGCCAGAGCTGGGCTGATCCAAAGCCAAGAGTCAGGAGCTTCTTCCAGGTCTCCCACGTGGGTGCAGGGGCCCAAGCACTTAGACGATCTTTTACTGCTTTCCCAGTCATTAGCAGGGAGCTTGATCAGAAGTGGAGCAGCCAGAACTTGAACCAGTACCTGTACCTGTTAACCTGTTATGGTTAAGGTGGAGGCTTAACCTGTTATGCCACAGCATCAGCCCCAACATTTTAAAATTTGAGAAATTTTACACACCAAATAACCCATTTTGGATTTTTCTTTAAAGTTGGGAGATTTGGAAATCTTGAGCTTCTATTGCTATAATGGCCATAATTATCTGGAGCTGCAACTTGCTTTTTCCAGACGGCAGCTGTGCTGAGAATTCCTTCCGGAATTATACTCAGCCTGCTTCAATATGTTATTTTATTTTAAGTTTATTTACTTGAGAGACAATAGACAAGAGAAAGGTAGCTCCCATTCTCTGGTTTACTCCCTTGAATGCCTGCATTGGCTGAGGCTGAGATAGGGCCAAAGTTCAGCTGGGGATGTAATCCAGGTCTCCCATTTGGGTGACAGGAGTCCAGTTGGTTGATCCGTGACTGCTGCCTCCCAGGTTTTGCATTGGCAGGAAGCTGGAGTTGGGAGCCATAGCCAGGAGTTGTGGGTTGTGAATGTCTTAATTACTAGGTTAAACATCGATTTTACTGTACTTTGCTGGTTTCTTGTCCCTAACGGCATTTGGGTTTGGGATCCTTACCTTAAAAAATACAGACTATCACAAATCCATACTCACCTTAATAACTTCACTATTCAGAATTCTGAAATAATGACTACTTGTGATGTATTATTATGTCTGGGAGAAATTATATAAAATAGGAAAGACATACTCATTTCATCATTCAGGAAACATGTATCTGAGGAATTGAAATGAAAAAATAGTAGATGCAATAAAATATTTAAGTTAAAGCTACTGTAAAGCAAGTATAATTAGAAGAAAAAAATTTAAGTAATAGTTTTGATGTTTAGAAAATATGATGTAGTGGAAAGAACTTTTGTTCTGGGACCAGCTATGCAACTAATTTTATAATTTCAGTATCTTTAGAAGATCTTGATTTCATCTTGGAAAGTGAGACCTAATGACCACATTTCTGGAAATAGATGGTAATTCTGGAGATAGAAAACTTTAGAAATCCTTGGTAATTTTCAGGAATACCATTCAGAAACTTGAGCAGACAGTAGAATTAATATAAATAAATCAGTTAATATTTTCCCCCTAAATCCAGATGCAGGGACTAAATTTGTCAGGCCAGGACATCTGTGGCAATGGAGTACTATCAGTGGAACACACTGCACCAATGGTGCTTTTCTGAATTAGATCCCAGAACCTTCTCTACCAGTTACAGTCACCTATGAAGTTTTTAGATAGTATATTAGTCTACTTGGGCTACTGTGACAGAATGCCACAGACTGGGTAGCTTACACAGCAGAAATGTTTTTCTCGTAATTCTGGAAGCCGGAAATCCAAGATGTCAGTGGATTGGGTTTCTCCTGAGGCCTTCCTCCTTGTTTTGCAGATGGCCACCTTCTCACTCGTGGCATTTTTTGTATCCACACATCCCTGGTGCCTCTTCCTCTTCTCTTGTGGACACCAGTTCTATGAGGTCAGGGTCACATCATTATGATCTCATTAGCCTTACTTAGCTCCCAACCTATCTCTATATACAGTCACACTGAGGGCTAGGGCTTGGGGTGGGAGTGGTAACATGGTAACACAATTCAGTCCATAACAGAAATGAAGTAAGAGTAAATAATGGGGGCCGGTGTCCAGGCTCAATAGGCTAATCCTCCGTCTTGCAGCACCAGCACACCGGGTTCCAGTCTCGGCCGGGGCGCCGGAGTCTGTCCCAGTTGCCCCTCTTCCAGGCCAGCTCTCTGCTGTGGCCCAGGAGTGCAGTGGAGGATGGCC